GTGTGTGTAGGTGCACCAATGTGAATGTGCATGTGGAGGGCAGAGGTCAAGGTCAACTTCAGGTGTTATTTCTCAGGAGCAATCACCTTGATTTTTGAAACAGGGTCTCTCACTGGAACCTGGGGCTTGTCAATTAGGATAGGTTGGCTGATCAGTGAGCTCCAGGGATCTGCTTGCCTCTCCTTCCCAGCACTGGGATTATAAGTACATCCCACCATTCCTGACTTTTACATGGGTGCTGGGGACCAAACTCCTGTCCTCATGCTGTGTAGAAGTACTTTCCTTAATGAACTATCTCGCCAACCCTTATTCCATTCTTCCGTATGGCTGAACAATAACCATTGTGTATGCAGTGTCTTTTTACATTCATCTGTCGATGGGCACCTAGGCTATTGTGAACAGTACCACAACAAAAATGGGTGTACAAATGTCTGCTGTATACTGACTTCGATTTCTTTGAGCATATACACAGAAGTACTATAATTTTCTCATATATGTATAGTATTCTGTTAAATCCAAGTACAGCCTTGAATTTGGCCAGAAACAGATGGCACAGTTGGTCAGAGTAAATAAGAAAAGTTCAATGAAGTAAGCATTTATAAAGATAAGGGCTAGCAAAGGAATATAGGTCGTGGCAGGGCCAGGGGAATCTGCATCTTGACCTTTTTGTTCTTCTGAACCCCTACAAAAATCAACCCCAACCAGAAGCCAGTGAGCAACCATTCCTGGGTGATGCAGCCCATAACATCAACCTCAGGGCACAGAGCAAAGCAAAGGAAAAAATGGAGTGTGACCTTGCTTGCAACAGTGTCTTCTGGTTAAAAATCTTGTACTTTTATTACAAAAAGACACATATATCTAGTTTCAAAGATTTATTTATTTTATGTGTATGAGTGCTTTACCTGCATATATGTATGTACACCTTGTACATGCAGTGTCCGAAGAGACCAGTAGAGGACACTGGATTCCCTGGAACTGGAGTTACAGAGAGTTATGAGTCGCTATGTGGACATGGAACCCAGGTCCTCTGCCAGAGCAGCAAGTGTTCTTAACTGCCAAACCATCTCTCCAGCACTTAAATATATCTTTTAATTTAAATGTATTCTTATATGAAAACTAAAGCTTTATCCAATACCAGTGCACTGCACAGAAAGTAGTGGAAAAGAGAAATTACTTTAAACACAACTTCTACAGAAAGCTTCTACTTCTTTCTGGCCCTGAGGCTTAAACTGATCACTGAAATGTCTTTATTCCTCCATCTATCTCGTGGTCTTTTACGTTAGTCCACTATTTGATTGGATAGGATTTTTTT